GGAGGTTGCGGTGAGCCGAGATCGCGCCATTGCACTCCAGCCTGGGTTCAGGCAATTCTCCTGCCTCAGCCTCCTGAGTAGCTGGGATTACAGGCACGCACCACCGTGCCCAGCTAATTTTTTGTAGTTTTAGTAGAGACGGGGTTTCACCATGTTGACCAGGATGGTCTCGATCTCTTGACCTCGTGATCCACCCGCCTCGGCCTCCCAAAGTGCTGGGATTACAGGCTTGAGCCACCGCGCCCGGCTCAACTTCCTCTTGTTTAAACAAGTTATAGGGCTCACTGTTATCTCTTTCAAAATAGATGTTATTATTATTATTATTATATTGAGTCAGTTTTGCTCTTGTTGCCCAGGCTGGAGTGCAATGGTGCAGTCTTGGCTCACAGCAATCTCCGTCTCCCAGGTTCAAGCAATTCTCCTGCCTCGGCCTTCAGAGTAGCTAGAATGACAGGCACCCACCACCATGCCAGGCTAATTATTTTGTATTTTTATTAGAGACAGAGTTTCACCAGTTTGGCCAGGCTGGTATCAAACTCCTGACCTCAGGTGATCCACCTGCCTCAGCCTCCCAAAGTGCTGGGATTACAGGCGATGTTAACTATTTCCTGAACTTTCCTGAGGGATGGCCATTTCACTGCAAGCTTCTCACTGCTTTGTTCTTCTGTATTACAAATGTTTCCCACTTCCTGCTTTTTAGTATGTTCACACTTCTTACCTTCTCAAACTTCGCCTTTAGTGATGTATTTCAAATGACTTTATGAGTTTCACTGGGATTTAGGGGAGGAGGTGAAGGCTCCCCAGTCTGCCATCCTTTTCCTCAATAAATTTGTTTTGAGAAACAGCTCCCTCGAAAGCATTTTCTTCCTTGTCAGCCGCATCAGTCTCCTTTGAGTGGAACTCTCTTCTCGTCTCCTCTTGAATTTTTTTTTTTTTTTTTTTGGGAGACGGAGTTTCGCTCTTGTTACCCAGGCTGGAGTGCAATGGCGCAATCTCGGCTCACCGCAACCTCCGCCTCCTGGGTTCAAGCAATTCTACTGCCTCAGCCTCCTGAGCAGCTGGGACTACAGGCACACGCCACCATGCCCAGCTAATTTTTTGTATTTTTAGTAGAGACGGGGTTTCACCATGTTGACCAGGATGGTCTCGATCTCTTGACCTTGTGATCCACCCACCTCGGCCTCCCAAAGTGCTGGGATTACAGGCTTGAGCCACCGCGCCCAGCTCCTCTTGAATTTTATGTGAGTGTTGCACACATCCATCCACAGTGTCAGCTACTCTCTAACATTTGTAAGCCAATGGTTCAAACATCTGTTGCCAGCCTTTACCTCCACCTGGGCTTCCAGACTTACCTACATTTTAAATTAATTATTTATTAGTTTTATTTATTTAGTTTTGAGACAGGGCCTCACTTTTGTTGCCCAGGCTGGAATGCGGTGGTATGATCACAGCCCACTGCAACCTCGACCTCCCAGGATCAATCAGTCCTCCTGCCTCAGCCTCTTGAGTAGCTGGGACTATAGGTGTGTACCACCATGCCTGGCTAATTTGCTTGTTTTTTATTTTTTCTGTAGAGATGGAGTTTTGCCATGTTGCTCAGGCTGGTCTCAAACTAGGATCAAGCAATCCACATGCCTTGGCCTCCTGAAGTGCTGGGATTACAGGCGTGAGCCACCATACCCAACCTATTTTCTGTTTTTACAGACGAGGTCTCACTATGTTGCCCAGGCTGGACTTGAACCTCCTTGCACAAGTGGTCCTCCCACCTCAGCCTCCCAAGTAGCTGGGACTGCAGGTGTGTACCACCACACCTGGCTTCACCCACACTTTTATCTCCAATAAAATGCCGCATCTCTAAACCCAGCACCTACCTTGAAGCGCTGATCCTCCTCCTGTAATCCTATTTCAAGGAATGACACTGCCATCTGGCCACAGCCTGAATATCGTCCTGATCTCTCTGCCTCCTTCCCCATGTCTCACATGCAGCCGCTACCAAGTCATGTCAGCTCTGCCCCGTGCATACTGCTGTCCTTCTCCTCCCCACAGCCACCACACCAGCCCTCATGCCTTCTGAGACCTGCCCTCCAGAGCAGTGTACATGCCAGGAGTGTTCAGTGGGCACAAGTGGTTTTATTGCTTCTGCCTGGGAGAGGAAGCCCTGGCGGGAGCAGGGACACAAAGAAGACACGGAGCTGCACCCTGCCGGCAGTGTGGATGCTGGGGGCAGGAGTCCAGGACTGAAGAGCTGTCCGCGTGGGAGCTGGAACCGCTGAGGAGGTGCACCTTGGCCTGCAGAGGCCACCGGCTGGAGAAGGGGGTCCCAGCCTCACCGATGCCGCTTTCGGATGCTCTGCAGCTCCTGGTAGATAGTGCTGAAGCTGGGCCGCTGCCCAGGCTCATAGGCCCAGCACTGCTCCATGAGCCTAAACACGGCATCAGGACACAACTCTGGGCAGGGAAGTCGGCCCCCTGTGAGGAGAGGCACCGCACACCAGGCATGAGGAGGGAGTCTGAGGCCCTCGGCAGACTCTCGGGCATATCATGAGCCATAGGAGCTGCTTAAGATGCACTGTTCTGAAGCACGCACTGTTCTTCACCAAGAGCCCAAAGGACACAGGCCTGGCTTCTGACCCCAGCCCCATCACATGCTAATGTGGGACCTCTGCCAGCCTGTTTTTCCAGCTGATAAAGGCACTATTAATCCCCACCACACATGTTGTGATAAGCAAATGAAATAACGTATGACGTAGCACAGAACAGGTGCTCACTTGGTAGTAGGTACAGGGTTACTCTTTTGTTGTTGTTGTTGAGATGGAGTCTCGTGCTCTCACCCAGGCTGGAGTACAGTGGTGCGATCTCCACTCACTGCAACCTCCACCTCCCAGGTTCAAGCGATTCTTGTGCCTCAGCCTCCCAAGTAGCTGGGATTACAGGTGCCCACCACCACACCTGGCTAATTTTTTGTATTTTTAGTAGAGATAGTTTTGCCATGTTGGCCAGGCTGGTCTCAAATTCTTAGACTCAAGTATTCCACCCTCCTCAGCCTCCCAAAGTGTTGAAATTACAGGTGTGAGCCACCACATCGGGTTTTTTTTGAGTCCAGGTCTCTCTGCCACCCAGGCTGGAGTGCAGTGGCATGATCTCAGCTCACTGTGTGATCCTCTCGCCTCAGCCTCCTCCGTAGCAGGGACGACAGACACATATCACTACACCCAGCTAATTTTTGTATTTTTTGTTTTGTCTTTTGGTCTTTTGAGACAGAGTTTCACTCTTGTCACCCAGGCTGGAGTGCAGTGGCACAATCTCGGCTCACTGCAGCCTCTGCCTCCTGGGTTCAAGCAATTCTCCCACCTCAGCCTCCTGAGTAGCAAGGACTACAGGCCGTGCCACCACACCTGGCTAATTTTTGTATTTTTAGTAGAGACGGGGTTTCACCATGTCGGTCAGGCCAGTCTCAAACTCCTCACCTCAGGTGATCCGCCCACCTTGGCCTCCCAAAGTGCTGGGATTTCAGGCATGAGCCACCCTGCCCAGCTGGGTTATTCTTATTATGCCCGCTGGGAAGGTTGGCGTTAAGGGAGTTGGAAGAATGCGGCTAGAGCAGCAGGAAGAGGACACAGACTGACACTGCTGTCATCACAGGGCACTTACCCTTCTCCACGAACTCCCGCGTCTGCTGATTGCTGAGGTTGGGATAGGGAGAGGCCCCCAGGCTGAAGGTCTCCCAGAGCAAGATGCCAAAGCTCCACACGTCACTCTCGGAGGAGTAGCGGCCTGCAGGGGAGCAAGGCAGCGTGAGTGGATCCTCCCTGGGGCCAGGGCGAGGCAGGCGACAGGACCCAGGCCTGCTGGACGGGGACCAAGTACCGTAGTTAAGGGCCTCAGGTGCGGTCCATTTCACGGGGACTTGTCTGAGGCCCCCTGAGGATGCGTAGACCCCATCAGCTTCCTCTCGGGACATCCCAAAGTCACTGATCTTCAGGACATTCTTCTCTGTCACCAGGCAGTTCCGAGCAGCCAGGTCCCTGGGTGAGACAGGACAGGGGCTTGTTTGGCCAATGTCCCCTGCCCAGCCCTGGCTGAACACTCTAGAAAAGTCATGGACAAAAGCTGCTCCCGGCCCTGTGCACCCCTATCTACTGGAGAGACCAGCCCCCTGCTGGAGCTGCTGCCTGATGCTGGGGGACTGGGGGTCAGGCGTATAGGCCCTGTGACTCTGGTCGGGTGTTGGCAGGGCACGTGGCCGCCACCCACTCACCGGTGGATGCAGCATTTGCTCTCCAGGTACTCCATGCCAGCAGCGGCATCCCCCACCATCTGCAGCAGAGTCTTCACCCGCAGGCGGGCCCCCTCCGTGCGGAGAAAGGTCAGGAAGTCACCTCCTGCAGGTGGGGAGGACACCTGCTGAGCCTCCTGTGACTCGGGTGCCACCCGGCCAGGCTATGCCCCCATGTGGAGCTTAGCGCCCCACACTCACCCTGCACAAGCTCCATGACAATGTAGATGGGCTGTTTCTGGGTGCAGACGCCAATGAGACGCACGATGTTGGGGTGGCTGTACTGCTTCAGGATCCTGGAGGGCACTGCTGCTCAGGCGCCACGTGGCCAGGCTGCCTCCCCAGGGACCCCCAGGGATGATGGGAGAAGAGCTTGGCCTCCAAGGCCAACAGACCTGGACGTGTGACCTGGGGCAGCCTCTACCCCTCGGCACTATGAGGGGGCGCTACCCACAATGGGGGGGTCTTGAGGAGGGATTAAACACCACCACAGAGGCCAAGCACTTGACACTGTGCCAGGCACAGAGGAACTTCTGTGTGTGCCAGACCCGGGGTGATCAGTTTATCACCCACCTCGCTTCCTGTAGAAACTTGGCCTTAAGGTCAGGTGGGAGAGTCTCTCGACAGGACTTCACCGCCACCAGGCTGTTGTCAGCTCGCAGGCGTCCGCTGAACACTTCGCCAAAGTTCCCCTGAAATGGTCTTGGGCTCCCACCAAGTCCTTCCCAGTCCCGCAGCTCCTTCTCTGCTCCAGTTAGTCAGCCCCGTGCTCGGACTCCTCCCCCAGCCTCCCTGGGAGTTTGCCCCTCGCTGGGAAACTGAGAGCACAAGGAGTAGGCAGGGAAAGCTGCCTCCGACATGCTGCCCTCCATCTTCCAGGCTGATGTCCCTAAACCCTGCCACCCCTGTTCCCCTTCCTCTCCACCACCCCTGTGAGAGGAGTGACATGGAAATCCAAAACTCACTCTCCCCAGGGTTTCAAAAGCATTCTGATTTTTAGGAAAGCGACTTCTTCCCTAAACAGGTATCTTATTGCTCACAGCAACAGGATGTCTCCCTACACACAAGAGAGCTTGAAGGGGGGGTCTGGGTGGGGGTGATGAGGTCAAGGGGCTGGCAGAGCTGTCTGCAGGGCTTTTCAGGGTAGGTTCTATCCCCTTTCCTGGAGAATGGTGTGTGGCGGGGGCTGGGCAGGGAGTCAGGGTACAAGTGGGGAATGAGATGGGGCAGGGAGATCTCTGGGCGGTGCCGCGGGGGACCCAGGTGTGACACGGGAGAAGCGGCCAGCGACAAGGAGGCCGGCAGAGGCGCACTCACCCGTCCAATCTGCTCGCCCAACACCAGGTCCTCATGGTTCAGCACCCACTTGTCCTGAGGAAGAGAGGAGTTCGGGGATCAGAAATCTGAAGAAAAGCCAGGCGCGGTGGCTCACGCCTGTAATCCCAGCACTTTGGGAGGCTGAGGTGGGCAGATCACCTGAGGTCAGGAGTTCGAGACCAGCCTGACCAATATGGTGAAACCCCATCTTAAAAAAAAAAAGAAATCTGAAGTAAAAGGGCTGCTGGGCCCTTAGAAGGGCTAGACATCTCTGTCCATTTCTCGGCACCTCTGTGTGTGACCCGGGGTGGGACCACACCTAGATGACTAATGGGGTCCAGGCAGGCGCACCCGCCCGGTGTGTGCAGCCCGTGGAGTAGGAGTGGCCTTGACCTTCCAAACCTAGCGGGAAGCGGGACCCGAACTTCACTCACTCTGCACCCTGTATGTAGACGGAGGGCCTGGAAAGCTCTTTCTGCTCAGACCCTGGGTGGTCCTGACCCATACTCCCCAACCTTGTCACAGGGCATGGGCCGGGCTGGTTGCAGGCTCACCTTGGGCACGGGCCTATGCAGGACGACACCACTCTTCTTGGTGAGGGGCTGCTGCGTGCTCAACAGGTGGTCGATGAGCAAGGGAATGCTGGGAAAGCCCTCACCTTCCAGTCGGTACAGGTTCTGCAGGGCAGGGGACCCAGGGTCAATGGCCTCCATTCTTGGGGGGGAGCGGGGGCTGAGCCCTGGGCGGGTAGAGGGAGGGCAAGAGGGGAGGAAAGGGCCTGCCCAGGATCAGGGGCAGAGAGGCTTCCAGAAAAGACACCATCTGATGACGCATGACGTCCTGCTACCCCTCTGGGGAAGACACACAAGCTTCTATTTGGTTGCAGGGACTGGGTGGTCTCTGTGGCTGCTTTCAGCCAGCCCTACTAGGGAGGCATCACAGACCTGGAAGCTACCCACCCACTACCCAGCAAGTTCATTCCCCTTGGGGAAGGGAAGGGAGGGGAGAGTGAGGCCTGGAAGGCTGGGGTCCCAGCCTCACTTACGTCCAAGGACTGGATGATGAAGTGCCGGGGCAGGCCGTCCCACAACACCGACAGCACGTACTCCTGCTTGCCCTGGCTCTCCCGCACCAAGAAGTCCCCAGAGTGCGTCAGCAGCTCAGCCACCTCCGCCCGCGGGATGGCCCCGTGGTACCACAGCTGCTCATGCAGGGGCTTCTGCACCTCTGGAACGAGCTGCAGCGGTGGGGGGAGCTGGGCAGGGGAGGATGGAGGAGGGGCCACTCAGCCAGCTTGTTGCAGAGGCTGTGGGGGCAGTCAGGGGTCTCTCTCTTCCCCCTATAAGCCCCCAGTCCTCACAACCATGGAGTGGCATGCAGAGCCGTCTGCAGGCCCTTGGAGTGGGCAGTGGATTGGCCCAGGATCACACTGGGCAGAGCTGGGAATGGAAGCCTGGGGAGGATAACTCCGAACCAAGCTGGTGCCTCCTCCACCAGCCACAGGTCCCCCACCATTCCTGGAGCAGGGAGAGCCGTGGAATAGTCAGGGCTGCTGGTCCTTCCAGCACACAGGGGCAATGGAGAGGAAGGGGTACCGGGGAGGGAGGGTCCAGGGCCATCTGCAGCCTAGAATTGCAGGGAAGAGAGAACTTCCCAATAAAAACTGCCTGGGCAGTCTCCTCTCTAGGGCCTCCCAGTGATTAAACATGAAACACAGCCAGGTTTGGTGGCTCATGTCTGTAATCCCAGCACTTTAGGAGGCTGAGGCCGGTAGAGCACAAGGTCAGGAGTTCAAGACCAGCCTGGCCAATATGGTGAAACCCCATCTCTACTAAAAATAGAAAAAAAAAAAATTAGCCAGGCATGGTGACAGGCACCTGTAGTCCCAGCTACTCCGGAGCCTGAGGCAGGAGAATCGCTTGAACCCAGGAGGCAGAGGCTGCAGTGAGCTGAGATCGCACCACTGCACTCCAGCCTGGCAACAGAGTGAGACTCCAACAGTAGGGGGCCCAGGCTGCGTGCCACTCACCGAGAACTTGGGGCGGAAGATTCCTGAGATGTGGCTCTTAAGGATCTCCAGCGTGGGTGTCCTTCCCCCTTCTCGCTCCTGCTCCTGAGGCCAGGGACAGACGTCAGCAGGTGGCCAGGCTTAGGGAGGGGGAGGGTGAAAATGAGGAGTGCAGCCTCAGGTGGGCAGGCTGGTGGTGGGCAGTGGCTGCGGATGGGGCAGCTCACCGAGGATGATGTGGAGTGGCGGTCATCCTGCAGGAACAGCACAGGCGGGGGCTCGCCGGGGCCTAGCTGCTCCAGCTTGGTCTGCAGCAGCTCCTGCTGGGCCTGCAGCTTGGCCTGGCTGCACATCGCTACCTGCAGCCCCTGCAGCGCCTCCTGCAGCGCCTGCCTCTTGCCCAGCAGCTGCACCCTGCAGGCAGGGCCGGTGGGAGGGTGGGTGAGAGAGAGCGCTCAGTCTGCAGCAGGCAGCCAGCAGCAAGGAGGGAAGGCAGGAGGGAGGGAGGCCCAGGAAGCTGCTGCAGGCAGGGGCCCACTCACCGCCCGCGGGGATGGGTGTTCTGTTCTTCATTCTGGAGCTCCTGCTGCAGCTGTGTAACCACCTCCTGCCGACTGAACACCGTCTCGGTGGCCACAGCCAGCTCATCTGTCACTGAGGTCAGCCTGCACCCGAGAGAAGGGCAGCATTAAAGTGAAGCCCTCCTGCCCCCTCACCCATGTCCAGTGCATCCCTGCAGAGCCAAGCAAGCCTGGTCCCCTGGTGACAGCTCTGTGTGGACAGTGTCCACAACCCAGCCCTGCCTACATAAACACCCGTGGTCTGCTGGGAGCCCCGCCATGGCCCAGATGCAAAGCCACCACCCACGTGTGCTGCACGCTCTCCACGGTCAGCTCGTTCAGCTGCAGCTCCCCAGGCTCCAGCGGTTCACCCTCCTCAAGCAGTGACTCATCGAAGGTGACGCAGGGTGGGACGTCCGGTGCAGACCTGTGGGGGACAGCGCCCCGTCAGTGGACAGGCCGGCAGCCCCTGAGCCCAGCAGGAGCAAGGACCGGGCTTACCCATACTGTCGCAGGAAGCCTTGGTACTCAGCCTCAGGCTGGATGCGGGCAGCAGCTGCAGCCATCTCCTGATGAATGGACACCACCTCGTCCTGCACCAGGCTGCTAATCTCCAGGTATTCCTGCAGGATCTCCTTCCTGCCCCCAGATGGGATCCCCAGTCAGAGGAGCCTCAGGTTGGGCAAGGCTGGGCAGTTCAGACCCAGGACTCTGGGTTTGGAGTCAGAGTCAAAGTGAGGCTTGGGTTGACCCCAGCCTCACTTCATGCTACCCATGCGACTCTAGGCAAGTTATTTAATCTCTCCTTGATCTTCTATTTCCTCATATGTATAAGGGGGAAGCTGGCAGTTGTAATAAGGATCCAGTGGGCCGGGCACGGTGGCTCACACCTGTAATCCCAACATTTCGGGAGGTCAAGGCAGGTGGATTGCCTGAGGTCAGGAGTTCGAGACCAGCCTGGCTAACATGTGGTGAAACCCTGCCTCACCAAAAAAAAAAAAAAAAAACAAGGCTAGGAGTGGTGGCTCATGCCTGTAATCCCAGCATGTTGAGAGGCCGAGGCCGGCGGATCACAAGGTCAACAGATCTAGCACATCCTGGCCAACATGGTGAAACCCCGTCTCTACTAAAAATACAAAAATTAGCTGGGCATGGTGGTGTGCACCTGTAGTCCCACCTACTTGGGAGGCTGAGGCAAGAAAATTGCTTGAACCCAAGAGGCAGAGGTTGCAGTGAGCTGAGATCGCACCACTGCACTCCAGCCTGGTGACAGAGCGAGACTGCATCTCAAAAAAGAAAAAATCAGCCAGGCATTGTGGCACATGCCTATAGTCCCAGCTACTCTGCTACTCGGGAGGCTGAGGCAGGAGAATTGTTTGAACTCAGGAGGTGGAGGTTGCAGTGAGCCAAGATCGCGCCGCTGCACCCTAGCCTGGGCGACAGAGCGAGACTCTGTCTGGAGAAAAAAAAAAAAAAAAAAAAAAAGGATCCAGATGAGATCCTGTGTGCAGAGTGCTGTACAGGGAGCGCTCAGTAAACATGAGCTATAGTTATCCTTGCCTGGGTGGCCAGCTCTGCAACTCAGTACCATGTAGCCATCAACAAGCTGCCCACCCCCGTCCACATCTCCCAGCCCAGGCACACCCCTGGGCCCCAGCCTCATGTACTCACTTACCAACTCAAAATGTCCCATTGGTTATCTCTTAGACACCCCAACCCCTCTAGTTGAAAAATCAGGCTGGGCGTGGTGGCTCACGCCTGTAATCCCAACACTTTGGGAGGCCGAGGTGTGCGGATCACAGGGTCAAGAGATCAAGACCATCCTTGCCAACACAGTGAAACCCCATGCTACTAAAAACACAAAAATGAGCTGGGCGTAATGGCACGAGCCTATAGTATAGCCCCAGTTACTCAGGAGGCTGAGGCAGGAGAATCGCTTGAACACGATTGTGTGGAAGTTGCAGTGCACCGAGACTGCGCCACTGCACTCCAGCCTGGTGACAGAGCGAGACTCTGTCTCAAAAAAAAGAAAAAAGAAAAGAGAAATGAACTCCTGCCCTTGTCTCCTAAACCTCTTCCTCCTACAGCCTTCTCCACGTAAGTTAATAGCCACTCCATCTTCCGGCTGCTCCAGGCCAAAGCCCCAGAGTCACCCCGACTCCTCTATTTCAGGCTCCACTTCCAATCCACAGGGAAATTTCACTGGCCCCACCTTCAAAACAGCCCCAGAACCTGACCGCTTCTCAACTCCATTGCTACCTCCCTGTCCTTTTTGTGGCCAAAAGCTTAGGTCTGGGTTACTGCAAGAGCCTGCTTTCTGGCCTCCCAGCTTCTGTCCTTGTCCCCTCCAGTCTATTCTCAGCACAGCAGCCACAGTGGCCTTATTAAAACAGAAGTCAGAGCTGGGCGTGGCTCACACCTGTAATCCCAGCACTTTGGGAGGCAGAGGCGGGCGGATCACTTTGCACCCAGGAGTTAGAGACCAGCCTGGGCAACACAGTGAAACCCCATCTCTATTAAAAACACAAAAATTAGCTGGGTGTGGTGGCACAAGCCTGTAGTTCCAGCTACTCCAGAGGCTGAGGCAGGGGAACTGCTTGACCCTGGGAAGTGGAGGTTGCGGTGAGCCAGGATCACGCCACTGCATTCCAGCCTGGGTGACAGAGCAAGACTCCAACTCAAAAAAAATAAACAAAACCAAAAAACAGAGGTCAGATCATGCCATCCGTGCTCACCCAGAGCCAAAGGCCTCGATGGCCCTGCTGGACCCTCTATCACCCAGGAGCCCTCGATGCCTGACTCCTCCAGCCTTGCGTCTGACTCTGGGCCTGATGGCTGGGCTTAGGGCTGCGTGAGGGTAGGGGCTGGGGGCTGGGGGCCGGGGGCCGGGGCCCGGGGCTACGGGCTTACAGGATCCGAGCCATCTCCTCGTGCAGGCCCTGCAGTGAGCGCAGCAGGCTGGGCAACAGGCGCTGGTGGTGGTGCTGGTGATGCAGCTGGGCGGCCCGCACACCCAGCACGTAGCGGTTGTGGTGGGCAAAGAGCTTCCACAGGCTGCGTACATACTTGTCCTTGGCCTTGTCACGGTCCTTGTCTGCCAGATGGGGGTCAAGGGGTATAGATGACAGCATGGAGGCCCTGGCAGCCCCCACTCTCTGTTGACCTGACCCCTAAAGACAGGTCAGCCCTGGCTTCGGATTCCCTCACTGCCAGCAAGGGAAGCCACAAACCTTTGCTGGCCTCCTGGTACTTGCGCTTGGCATTAGCACTGTCCCGTGCCAGGGCTCGGTACTGGCTCTTCAGCTTCTCAATGTCCTGGCTGTGGGTCTAGGGAGAGAGAAGACGCCAGTGTGGGACAGCAGGTCCCCAAATGAGGAAGGTTCTTGCCTGGGATGAAGCCCTGGAAAGGTCCGGTCACCGGCAAGGAGCGCCTGGAGACTTCTGGGAAAGCTGGCTGCTGAGCTGAGGGTCAAAGGTCAGAGGGCCTGTTAAAGACAAGCCCCTTAGGGAGGCAACGAGGTGGACTACAGGCGACAGCCGTCCCTCCTTGGTCTGGGAGCAGTAGCCTGGTGGTAGGCAGGGCCAGCTGCAGGTGTGTGTGGCCTGTGCTGTCACACACCTGCAGGACATCCACATGTGGACAGGCCCTGTGCTGGGTCTCATGCCCCGGTACTGCCACCTTGAAATTCTTAACAATCTTTTAACAAAGTGCCCTACAATCTCATTTTGTGCTGGGTCCTGCAAATTATATTCTTGACAGTAGGAACAGATGAGAGCTGAGACCAGAGTTCTCGCCACAGTTCTCCTGTTTATGTGCTGGGATACATTGGGCAAGTCCCCAACCTCAGTTTCCCCATCTGTAACTGAGCTAAAGACCTCGACTAAATTAGTCTTTTTCTTTTTTCTTTTTTTTTTTTTTTTGAGACAGAGTCTTGCTCTGTCCCCCAGGCTGGAGTACAGTGGCACAATCTTGGCTCACTGCAACCTCCGCCTCCCAGGTTCAAGTGATTCTCCTGCCTCAGCCTCCCCAGAATAGATGAGATTACAGGCGCACACTACCACGCCTGGCTAATTTTTGTATTTTTAGTAGAGATAGGGTTTCACTATACTGGCCAGGCTTGTCTCAAATTCCTGACTTCATGATCCGCCTGCTTGGGCATCCCAAAGTGTTGGGATTACAGATGTGAGCCACCACCCCGAGCGGATCATTCTTTTTCCTAAATGGCCAGATAGTAAATAAATATTCTAGGCTTGTAGGCCATACAGTCTCTATCCTAATTACTCAACGCCATGGTAGCCACTGACAGTATGAAAACAAAGAGGCACAGCTGTGTTCCAGCAAAATTTGATACAAATAAGCCAGCCCTCAAATTGGAGATATCTCTTGGGGAGAGGAGTAGGGCCAGGGCTGCCACCAGGGGCCGCTGTAGGTCCATGGCAAGGCTGGGCTCTGCACTTGAGGAAGGGGTGTGGTGCAGGGAGGCTGACCCTCACACTGAATGGGGGTGACTCGGCTCCCAGATAAAGAGCCAGCTCCAAATCACAGCCTCTAGACCAAGGAGCTGGTGGGAGTCAAACCTGACACCACAGCCCGAGTCCTTGGTCTTCAGGGGGCCATGCTGCTGCCCAGTCGCTGGGGCCACTTGAGGAGCCTGCCTAGGTCGAAGGCAAAGAGACTGACCCTCTCATTCCTCTCCATGACTCTCAGAACCCAGTGCCAGGTGGCGCAGTGCGGAGGCAAGCACCGATTCTCAGCTTCTCATAGGCAAACGACTAGCCACTCATCCTTCCATTCCCAGCACTTTGCCCAGGCACAGAAAGAGCACAGAGACCTTGCTGCAAGCAAGCCCAATGGGGGGGGGGGAGGGGGGGGGGTGGTAGGGTGGGGAGAGGAAGCTGCATCAAGGTTGGAGCAGGCCAGGCCTGTGGTCAGGGACTTCCACTTCCCCAGTGAGTCCACTGCCTCTTGTGCAAAACCACCCCTTGGAGGCTCAAAATTTAGACAGAAGTGACCGAAGCCCCGTGCTGCCCACCTACCTTGGTGAGCTCCTGCTGCAGCTGCTGCCACTGCTCGCTGTAGGTCTTGCGAAGCTGCTGCCGCTCCCGGATGAGCAGGCTCAGCTTGCTCAGGGGCCCTGAGTTCAGGTCCTCTGCGTGCTGCCGCAGCAACCGGCTCAGGCCCTCTGTCTGGCTGGTGATCTCCGCCCAGGACTAAAGCACAGGAAAGGGGAGGCAGGGAGGAGGGGACCATGGCTCCCAAGCCTGGGCCTGCTAAATCTCCAACCGCTCCTCCAGAGGGCCCCCAGGAGAGGAAGGGGAAGGCAGAGCCAGCCAGCACCCACAAGAGTCCCACAGAGGCCCACCTGGCTGATGGGACTGTCCGGGATACCCCGGCCCTGGCCCCCGCTGTCCTGCAGGGACATGTGGTGGAGCAGCCCCGCATATTCCCTGTCACTCTTGACCCGCTGGGCCATCCACTTCCTCATGCCCTCCAGGAGCCGGAGCTCAGCCTCCTGCATCTGCTGCAGGACCCCATGGCCCTGGGGGCTGCACAGCTCCGAAGAAAAGCCCATAGTGCCGGCCTTGGGACAGAAAAGGGGCCAGCCCGGGGGCGAGGCAGCAGCAGGAGACACAGGCGTGGGACGAGGAGGCTGGGACTGGAGGGTTGGGATGGACTGCGGATGGGGGAAGGTGGGGTCCTGCTTCGTTCACACGCAGCCGGGGGTACACAGCAGCAGCCTGGCCTGGGCACTGGCCCTCATTGCTTCCCGAGCGCCAGAGGTCCCCTCCCCGTCCGGGAACAGAAGCCAACCTGGATCCTCCCTCCCCAGGCCCTTCCACCCAGCGCCTCTGACAGGGACACCCTCACCCAGGTCCTCGACAGGCCAAGCCTGCGCCAGCTGAAGCCTCAGGCGGCTGTGAGCCCTGCCCCTGCGGCCATCCCGGCCTTGCGCGGCCCCTACCCGCCCCCGGTGGGTCTCAGGCCCTCGAAGGCCTGCCCGCCTCCTGCCCGCTCCCCGCGCCGCCCGCTCCCCGCGCTCCCCCAGCTCTTCCAGGCCCCGGGGCTGGCGTTACCCGCGCGGGCAGCTGCTCCTGGGACGGCCTCGGACAGACTCAGGCCCGGTGCCGACCCCGGCCAGTTCCTGATTCCGCGCTTCCTCCTCCGCGGTTTCAGTTGGCCCCGGCCCCGGGGCGGGCCTGGAGGGGAAGGGGCGGGCGGGAGCGGCTCGACGGCCTCAACGCCTGCCAGCCCCCCTGCTCCGCGCCGCGCGGCCACGGAAACGGAAGGGAGGAGGGGGCCGGGAAAGAATGGCCCGGCCGAGCGCCGCCTGCACCCTGCAGCCCCCTGGGCCCCGCAGCGCCCCGGGAACACCGGGAAGGGGCGCGAGGTGAGGGGCGGCGGCGCAGGGCAAGGCCCCAGGCAGATGCTGGACCTGGGGAAGCCCGGGGTGTCAGGGGCTGAGGGGAGGCGCGCAGTCCTAGCACCAGGCCTGGGCCACCGCAGGGGAGGACGAGGGCACCCTGGGCCAGCCCTCCCCACTTCACGGTATCCCCTGAGGAGAGGCTCAGGCGCCAGCTTCCATTTGAATAAAATCTCCAAGTAAATATCCCGAACAGAGGCTGCTTCTCAGGGACAGGTCCTGGTGGCTCTGTCCCCATCCTCCTATCCCCAGGCAGGGGCTTCCTGTCCTAAGGGAGGCCTGGGGCAGTCAGAGGGCAGGGGCTCTGGCTCCCCCCAACAAGCCGTCTTGGTTCAGCCAGGCCCCCACGTCAGGCCTCAGCCCCACAGCCCTGGCGGCCAGGTCACTTCAGTCCAGTTGTTCTCCACACTGCTGGAAACAAGCACTTTGGAAGTAAGTGCTCTGCTCAGCTCCTGAGGTTCAGGGGTCAGCAGCCCCACCCCAGGGGGCTGGCCTCCAGCCACGGCCTCCTTCCACGAAGGCTAGTGCAACCTCCCACTCCTTGGAGGACTTTGGCCTTCTGACTCAGGCCCACATCCAGGCAGGCAGGCCACTGCGAGGGCCTAACTGGCCCCCATCTCCAGCTGCCATGCAGGGGCAATGGTACCACACTGGAGACTGGGCCTGGTTTGCATAGTCTGCACGTTTAATCACTTTAAAATCTCTAACATTATCTCGTGTCCATTAAATAGAACCAACAATGCTGGGCCTGTTTAAATTACAAGAAAAAAATCACTGTGCACCAACCCAGTATCTTACAAAACCAGCCGGGCTGGCCACGAGGCTGGGGTGATGGGAGGAGGGGGCACCCCTGGGCAGGTGGCTGGGTACCAGGAATGGCTAGGGGAGAGAAAGGGGACTCCCAGGTGGGAGGGGACTGATTGTCCTAATGGGAGGGGTGCAAAAGGCACGTCAGAAGAGGGATTTTGGGGGGCTTGACAGGTCAGTGCTTTCTCCACCAGGGCACAGTGTTGAGGGGGCTGAGTGCCACCACCTGCCCACCCCTGGCACTTGGAGAGCCAGTGACCTGTGGGCCCTTGGCATGGCGAGCCCCACTTGAAACAGATGTCAGCCTGCCCTCCCACCAGGGGACCCCCTTTCCTCCAGCCCACCTGGCTGGCCTGCTTCTTCAGGACTTGGGGCTCAACTTTTCCTCACTCCTCAGCAACATGCTGCAGCCCCCACAGCTCAGGGCCAGGGCAGCCAGGGGGGAGCAGGGCGGACGGTGGGTGTGAGAAGGTGGGTAGTCCAGCTGCTACCCCCATTAAAAATACAAAACAAATCATCAGCATCTAAAGTGAAATCATCACAAAGTGAAAATATATCCTCAAACAGCCCCTGAGATCCCCACAGGGGAAAGCAGCATCGGGTGGGAGGCCAGAGAGGCTGGCTGGGCCACCGCCCCTCCCCACCACCCACCCAGGGGCTCCAGGTCTGTGAGTGCCAACAGCCCAGGCAGCCCGGGCTCAGAAAACAGGGATTTGGGCCCCGACGGGAGAGGCAGGTGCAAGAGAGGGGAGGGTGGTGAGGACACCAGCACAGGGTTCTGACAGCTTCCGCCTTAGCTGTGCCAACCTGGCAGCCAGTGGTGGTGGAGGCATGGAGCACAAGGCGCGCCAGGGACACTGGCCATGTGCACACCTGGAGGCACCTGCCTTGCCTTGGTCCCTTCCTATGATGGCTGCTGCTGCCAAGACTCACCAGAGCTAGGGGACAGGGCGGAGGGTGCGAAAGCCCTTGGAGAGGTGGCCTCCTCCCACAAATGCCTCCCAGGCCAGCCTCCCAACTGCCTGGATGGGGACCATTATTGCTTTAGAGGGACAGGGAAGGGCAAGAGCGGCGGCCTGGGTCAGGAATCCCAACAAGCAAGGGCTGCCCATCTTCACTCCGCAGGAACTCTGGCTGTGGCTGTGGCCGAGGCCAGCTGCCCTGAAGGTTTCACTCCTTTCTCCACATGGAGGGGGCGCTGAGGGTGGGGTGCGGCCCTCCCCGCACCCCAGCTGGTCCTGGGCCCACCTCAGGTGGCCAGGTGGGCCTGAGGGTAGGATGGGAAGCAGTCTCCACCCCTTTTGCCTCCCAGCTGGGGTCCAAACCCAGTCCCAAGATAAAAAAATACTTTGGTGAATTAAAAAGTGCCCAAGGAGGGGATTGGCTTGAGGGGATGGGCAGTGGGCTCATCAGAGGGCGCTCTGGTCTTTGATAAAGGCGGTCCTCTCGCCCCGGCCCTCGTCCTCTTCTGAGTCGGACGGGCACTCCTCCTGCCAGGCTTCAGGGGGCAGCCCCTTATAGGAGATGAGGCCACGGTCCATGGTGTACACCTTCACCCCCCGGAAGCTAAAGCCAGAGCGCAGCTGCAGGACCAGGAAGACAGTGACGAAGACCAGCACGATGAAGGCGCAGCTGAGGCCAGCCACCACCTCAGGCAGGTGAGAGGGCAGCAGGCCTGCCCGCAGCCGCGGCTCCTCCTCCACCTCTGGGGGCAGCCGGGGTGGCTGCTGCTCTGGCGGGGACTCTCGGCTGCTCTGGCTTTGCCGGGAGCAAGTCTGCTCCACAGGGTCCAAAGAGGCGTGGCTGGGGCAGCTGAGGCAGTCTGTGGGGGCCGGTCCCTGGCAAGTGGCACATGAGGCATGGCAGGGGGCGCAGACGCTGGCCCGGATGGTCTCCACGTCATTCTCGGTGCTATAGTGTGTATCCAGGACTTGGGGGGCAAAACCTGGAGGGCAGTGCTGCACGCAGCTCTTCTGGTGCAGGGAGAAGCCTTCCTCACACACTGTACGCGTGGGAGAGAGGTGAGTGTGTCAGCTACAGAGACTGCAGCCGTAGCGCCACCACTGCCCAAGGCAACTCACCACACCCCCAGGCTTCCCCAGCCCCGGCACTGTGGGCATCCCAAGCACCCCAGGTCTCTTGAGACCTTTTTCCCTTAAAGCTGGGATTCAGGACAGGCACCCGTCTTCCCCCTAGACTCAGGCCCCCAAAGCCCAACAGCACCCACTACTGACCCACACAGGCCTGGCTGGATGTGAGGGTCTTGCAGCCGCTGCTTTCAGGAGGTACGGGCAGCCCCTCAGGGGCTGTGCCATAGAGCACGAGGGTGAACTTGGTCAGCGTCCCTATTCCAGAGAGGGAAGGAGGCAAGAGTGGGATGGTGCTGGCACCATGCCCAGCGCCCCAGGTCCTGCCAGCCCTCCTCCTCGTACCCCTGCCCCTCAAGTGCCCCCAGTACCATAGTTGTTGGCTTCGCTGGTGTTTTCAATCTCTAGGATCCACTCGCCAGAGGGATCCTCATCCCAGGCATGAGTTGTCATGAAGGCCCAGTCATTAAACCCATCTGCGGAGTAGTCGTGCGGCCTGAGAAGGGGGGTGCACACAGCCGTCTGAGGCCTCTGGGGGACCCCAGGCCACGGACAACTAACCCACAACACACAGGGCACACACCCTTTCCCCACACAGACCAACCCCACGGGGCCGGAAGCGCCTGCTGGCTTGGCTGTTTCTCAGTGAGCCAGACGTGCTCGATGGGGGATTCTAGAAAGGTACATAGGCACCGCACAAGGTGGGGCACACTACAGACGTTAAATGGGAGCAAGCCAGGGATTCCTGCAGCAAAGAACGGCCCCCAGGGACAAAGCTGTCCCTCCTGAAATGTCACGAGTGCCCCCTGGGCCGTGTGAGCGAGCGAAGGCAAGTCTGCGGGCTGTGAGGGCGGTGGCGCTGGGCAGGGCGGGCAGGAACAGAGCAAGCACCTGGCTGCCAGCAGGGTGGAGCGGGTGCCCATGGGGCTGACCAGGTGGATGGCCAGGTCGCCACGGCGATTATAGGACAGTGTGAGCCGCGCCTGAGCGTGCTCCAGCCGGGTGATGTGGTTGGGCTCGCCCAGGCACGCGGTCACGGTCTTCCGCACCTCGAGCCGCTTCCCAATGTCTCTGTGCAGGAGAGCACCATGAGGGTCAGCCAGGCCTGGAAGGACCAGCGGGCATCCCCTGCGACTTTCAGGTCCCACTGGCCCCCTCCCAGCCAGGGGCCAGCCCTCACTTGGGCTCGGTGAGGATGTCAATGATGCACTTCCGCTGGGGGGCCACTGTGGTCCAATTCTGGGCCAGGGCGACCATGGCGCCTGCATCCAAAAGCCCGTAGCCATATGAGTGGCTCACTGTGGGGACAGGGAAGGTGGGGTCAGCGGGGGCCACAGAGGGCCTTCCACCGAACTCCACATCCCACTTCCAGGCACTGCAGCCTGCCCCCACCTTTCCGGCCCACGCCATTGGTGGCCCAGTCGTTGGCATTGAGGTGGGCTGGCTTCGAGGTCTGGACCACCAGGTGCTGCATGTCCCGCCACGTGAGGTTCTTACTACAAAGAAGCAAGGGAGAGGCCAGGGTCAGTCTGTCTGGGAGCGGCACAGAGTGCCAGGAGGGACAGGGTTGCCCCCAGCCCCTACCCACTTACTTGGCCTCCAGGGTGAGGGCAATGATGCCGGCCGCTAAAGGGGCAGAGGCTGAGGTGCCTGTGTGAGACTCCGTGCACTTCTGCCGCAAGTCAGTCGTCACCTGCCCAGAGGAGAATCGTACTGGGGCCTGCGATGGGTGGAGGGGGCCAGAGGAGCCACCTGCCTGCCCTCCCTCTGCCTACAGGCCCTGGGCCCCACAGATGGTATGCTGATCCAGGGCCAAGACCCTTGGGTCCCAGCTGCTGCCTTGCTAACTTGCTGTGGACAGGCTAATGCCGAGCCCCTCCTGGGCCTCAGTTTCC